TTCACCTCCTGGAAGGTATGTCCATGGGGAGCGCGTGGTCCTACCCCCAGTCCCAGGCGCCCCGAGTTCGCTCCTGTTGACGTTGGACTTCAACGTACATTTGAAGCGCGTGGACGACCCGCTGCCGCTTGGGGATGGAGATGAGACAGTAATGTCTGACGGGGCTCCCCTCTCTTCCAATATCTTCCTGGAGCCTGTGGTTAGCAAGCTGCCGTTTATCATAAGGGCGAGAGTGCAGCCTCCAGTCGAGCAGGAGTACTCGGGATATATGATTGATCAAGATCATCTGGTGGGGATGCGGGTGCGTAAAGTGTTCTTGTTGCCAACCTGGCGCTGCATGCTGAACATGCTTGTAGTCGGGGGATCATCCGGGTACTGTTGACCTGGACGTCTACACTTTCTGACTACCAATACAACTTTACAAGCGCGCTTGTGCATTTGTGTCAGACGCGCGTCCGTTCGGTCAAAGTAACCATAGGCTAGGGTATATGACGTCAATGGGGTACATCAAGCAATACTCGACGCTCGAGTGCCACAACTTGCTCACGACTACCACCATCTACCACAATCGCATACATCCCACCCACGTACTGGAACCATCTACGGCATGACAGACACGCTCATTACAATCCCTGGTGCTTCTGCTCACCACATCCTTGGACACACCGATGTCACTCTAGGCGCGGGCGACCTCAACATCGTTCCTACGGAGAGTGAGGGAAAGGTCCTATTGTTGACTGTCGGGAGCGCCGCGTTTGTCCTGGAGAAGGAGACAGAGTTTGGTACCATCGAAGACGATTCATGCGCATACGTGTTCAAGCCCAAGATGGACGGGGTCGGTGGAGGGTGAGCAGGCCGTGAACAGTGATTGCATGGTGGCCGCTTTGGCTCATTGACACATCAGGTACGTGAAGATGAGCTTGCCTGAGGGTGTCAAGGAGGACGGGTCACAGTTGTCGGAGTTGCAGACGAAGTTTGAGGAGATACTGGTCGAGCGCGGTATCCTGCAGGCCTCCGGGGAGAGTAGCGCGCGGAGTCGTATCAAGGCCGCCATCGCTTCGTAGGGCCGATTTTGCATGTATAATGATGCCGTTTCGCTCATGAGTCAATCGCTGTGATACAGTCCGAAGGTCGAGTCTCTTGTGTCCATTCCTGGGGCTGTCGCAGCCCAGATCCTAGGGGAAGAAACAACTGTCCTTTCGGAGGGGATATTGTCCCTCGATGTGATCCCACAACCAGCAGCAGGCGACGCTACACAGCCACTATTGACTCTGACCGTCGGACACGCCACTTTCCCCCTGTACAAGACAACGGTTTTCGGCACTCTCGCAGACGACTCACGCACGTATCTCTTCCAACCCGAAGGACAGGATGTGGACCGAGGGTAATCCTCCTCGCCTCTGTCTTCAATAGCGCAGTGTAGCTGATGGAGGCTCGTTTTTAGCTTCGTCGGCATAGTACTTCCAGACGCCGTAGAACAGTCAGACACCGATCTCGCAGAGCTGCAGAACACGTTCGAACTGGTTCTGACCGAGTACGGTCTCTTGAAAGATGGATTCGAGGCTGCTGCAGACGAAGTGGGCCGGAGCATCCGAGAAGACTCGGCACGCACTGCACAACGGATCCGCGAAGCAAAGGACTTGTGAGTCGACGCCAGTAGTATTGACTGTCCGCCGGTATCTCACGTATACCTCTGGCATTACAGCTACTTGAAGACACATCCCCGAACAGTTGATCCGGTGCATGTCTCGAGTGCCGCTCGCAATCTCACAGGCAGCGGCGTTTCAGGGACCCAGTCACTCGCGAACGCCGCGCACTGGGTGTCCGGTGTAGTCACTTCCGCCGCCGCCTCTGCTGGCGGCTGGATCGCGAGCACGTTCGTGCCCACAGAGCCGGCTACCACCGAGAAGCTCAACTCTACCGCACGGGGCGTCTCGTCAGTCGTCTCTGGCGCGGCGGACGGCACGAAGGAGGTCAAGGACACGCTGAAGGACGCTGCTGGCTCTGTCGTGGAGAACGACTATGGGGAGGAGGCGCGCGAGGTGTCGGGAAATGTGGGCCAGAGCGTCGGGAATGTGGGCGCGGTGGCGGGCGATGTGGCGACGGTGACGAGCGGGGCCGCGCTGGCTGTTGCTGGACTGCAGGGTGCGGCGGGGCGGCAGGACGAGGAGTTGAAATCCGCTGCACGGCAGGAGCATAGTCTTGCGGAAGAGTGATTCTAGCGCGTTCAATGGCATAGTGCTTGGACTGTGTATCATACCCAGAGTTCTCTACATTGTGATTGTATTCTAGGTCGGATTGGTGTTCATCAGGCGACACGCCCTCGCGTTGACGCCTGGCGTTTCCTGAAGAGTACACGGGCATCCGGGGAAGGGATAACAGTGGGACCCCAGTAGATGTTCTCCGGTCGTCTGCCATCTCCATCCAGCTTCATGTCAAAGTTGAGCGCAATGTAGGCGAGCATTGCCTTGAGCTCGTTCGCAGCGAAGAAGCGACCGGGGCTACTCAGTGAAGAAATTAGTAGAGGTGCTAGTTGCTGACTTTACAAGGCCATATAGCTTTAGTACGAAAGCTGGGGCTCACCAAGCATGCTTTCCGTGGCCGAAAGGAATATAGTCAACGGACGTGTTCACGTATTGGTGCTTCTTAGCTTCTCCCTCGCGCTCGCGCTGCCGCGAGAACCGCCATGGGTCGAAAACATCCGCATCCGCATAGACGCTATCGTCGTGGTGGAGAGAGTGAGCTGCGGCGACCATGAGCGTGCCGCGAGGGATCAACGTCCCGTCGCAGAGTGCGACATCCTGCTGTGCCTTGCGCATGAGGGAGACTGGGTGCGGTGCAGAGGGGAGTTGTAAGACCTAAAGAATGGCGACGTAATGGGGGTATGACGGCACCTGTGTTTATGCCGTTCAGTCGCTGGGACTCCCTTATGAAGCTGTCGAGCTTCCACATTCGAGAGATCGCGTTCTTCGTCCAACCCTCCTCCTGAATAATCGGCTCGATCTCTTCCCGCAGAGAAATGAGGTATTCCGGGCGTTCGGCCAGGTGGTAAATTGCATGAGTGATGCTCTGCCGTGCGGTCAGACCAAAGCGACTATGGCGAAAAGGAATGAGACAAACGTTCGACGATGTGTGGATTGCTGCGAAATTGACGAGGAGGACGCGTTGGACCATTTCCTCGTCGGTGTTGTTCCTAGAGAGCCCTTCGTCCATCACCCACTGGATCATGTCGTTCTTGGGGACACCATAATAGAACGAGGGTCAGTTCGGCCACCGCCGTATTTGACACAAGCGATGTGGAAAAATCCTACAGGCTTGTCGGGCCAGTCATCGCCATACTTCTCCATCATCCGCCTCCTCTCGTCCATCATGGGCTTCAAGATGGGTATCGCCCGACGCATATTCCTCGCGCTGCTGCCGAAGATGCGTCCGATGAAGCTGAAAACCACAGCGTCGGCGACTGGCCGATCACATATTGTCAGTGACGTCGCACTTACGGTTTCATGAACGACGGGAACATGCTGATAGTCGTCCTGTCTCTGTTAACATCTGAGGTGACACCTATAGCTAAATCTAGATATTTCCTGTTGTGGCCTGATGGTATATACGGCCCCTCGGTCAGTGAAGCGGAATAGTTCGCGAGTCGCTGAAACCGACATGTTGGTAGTCCGACGAAGACTCGGTTGCTGGCGCGTGCGACAATTTGGAGCGCTGCTCCCATGACGTCCACGCCGAGCCATTCTGTGCTGACCTTAAGCCGATAGAACTCTGAGTCACAGCGATATACGAGCAATGCTCACCATCTTCCTCCGCAGGGATATTCTCATGCACGGCAGCGGTTAATTCATCCATGATCTCGGGCAGGATGGCCGATAGGTTTCGAGTCAGCTTTTCTCGGACGACGTTCACATGGTACGGGTCGTGGTGTGCTTCATGGCCCACGGTGTACTTTGTCTGCACGAACTAGTCCACCGCGTGAGTACAGCTTGGAGTCGAGAGGCAGAGGAATGATAGGTGACGGACCTCCCCTGCGGCCTCGTGGAATGACAGCTCGTGGTCAGGACGCTTCCCGACGTCTTCGATAAGCTTTGAGCCGCTGATGACGACTAGCCATTGGTCGAGCATGGCGACTTTGAACGCGGAGCCGTGATACTATCCACTCACTAGTAAGCACGAGTATGGATCACGATGGCTTCGCACGGGAGCATGCCTTGTCATATCCCTCCTGTAGCATGTCCCTCCCGTGGCGAATCCACCGTGCAGATCCCAGGTAAGATAACAGTGGGAGCGATGGTCCACCAACGGTCGGTATAGCACGAAGCTGACGAGCGCGAGTCACCCAAGGAACCGTTCGCGGTCAGCCTTACCGGGTCAAAGAACCATTTCGCGAAGTAGATTGCCAGCAAGAGACCACCCAGGTAATAGTACCAAGCAAAGTCGAGGCTCCCCATGATACTTGAGACGATCGCTGCACCGCAGGGTCCCGGTGTATCGCTGAACAACGGCCCCGGGGAAGCCTTCACGGTATATATGTCTGTGGGCCATTCGGTCGAATCTCGAGGTTCCTGCGTGCCTACAAAGGACCGGATGAGTGGAAGTCAGAATCCGACAGATCATCACGATAACACAAGGTTACGAACTCTAGTCGAACGGAGGGCGCTGAGAGCGTTGATATCCCATGTCTTGGGGGATGATGATCCATACAGCGCACATACGAAAGCCCTCAGCCTGGTAGAGAAGTTACTATGATCTCTAGTGTGAGTTAGGCAGGACCCGTCAGAACGTCGGCCACTGACAGCGCGTGGGTATGATATATACCAAGGTCTCGTTCACGACAAAACATATGGCAGTAGGATTACCGAAAAGTACAGCTCGGGCGGCGTTGAACCGTGTGTTCGAGTTTGTCAAGAAGCAGCCCAGTGGGTGGACCAACTCCGCTACGGCATGACTTCCTCTAACTTTGGCGCCAACGTATTGCTGTTAACATAGTTAATAGCAACTCCCGTTTAGCTCAGTTGGTAGAGCGCGTCACTAGTATCTGCTTACACAAGCAGGCTATGACGAGGTCAGTCGTTCGAGTCGGCTAATGGGAACTATATTGCTACCGTGGTGGCCCCCTTTTTCGCTCCCTTTACCAAAGCCCCATCCGTCAATGCGCGCAGCTGGTGTAGTACACGGTTCGTACTGTACATACTGCATACCCTGCCACTTTGTCGAGGCTGTCGCGAATCCGATTTGGTTTTTTTTTTGGTTGTCGCATTTCCTAGAGGTCGCGCGACAATTGCGGACTCTTGAGACGAACGATAACAAGGACAAAAGTACAATAGTCGCAAAACGCACAAGTCCTAGGCCCGAGTGGGCGCAACCTGGACTGCCAGTGACGAGTGCAATTGTCAATATCGATATCCACGGGTCCGAGAGCACAAAGAGAAGCAGCGTCTCTCGTGTTAACACCGGAATTCGAACCGGACCCAGATTCGGAAGGAAGACAAGCAACGACGACGACAACAACAAGCCTGGCGGGCCTGGGGGTGCCGAGGCGGGGAAATGTCCGGAGCGAAGGGTTCGAAGACATAAACCGAAACAAGAAAGAAGAAAGAAAGAAGGGAGGAAAAGGTAAGACGAAGAGAATTGGAAGTCCATCGTCCGGGCGAAGTAGTGGTAGAAGAGAAGAGAAACAGACGGCGTTGGCCGACGGCGATGCACATCGCACATCGCACCCCATCCCAGGCCTCGGGGTTGGCAGCGGGGAGTGCTCGGGAAGCGTGTCGTCCGAACGCTACACTGAGAGGTACACGTAGGGAGGGAAGAAGGAAGGAACACGAGAAAGAGTACCAGTGAAGAGGAAGAAAAAAAGAACGGCTAGTACTTGAAGAAAACAACGATCAAGCCGGCTACCAGACAAACAACGCAAGGACAAGCGTACAGAGTATTGTACCATATGTATGTATGGGAGTCTACGAGTAACAACCAATTCACAAGCGGCCACGCCAGTCCTGGTAATAGTAATAGCAGAGAAAAGTCCGAGATCCCGGGGCTCTGAGGCTCCGAGCATAGGCGGGCACGCACGCGTTGTATGATCAGAGATGAACGCGCGCGCGTGAGGGAGGGAAGGCCTAAACCCACATGCACATGCTCGGCACTCAGGCCTAGGGGAAGGGAAGAGGAAGAAAAGGCTGTCCATCATCGTGGGTGGTAGTCGTTCTGCGTTCTGCGTTTCTGGATTATCGTGTTACGTCGTCGTCATATGTATTCGTCGTCGCCACAGAAAGCCAAGGGAGAGGGGGAGAGGGAGAGGAGAGGAGAGAGGGGGAGTAGGGCCGTCTGTGCGTTTTGGGTCGTTTCTTCTTCGTCTTCGATTAGTACTAGTAGGTGCCTGCCGATGTTGATGGTGGTGGTGGTGGTGTCTGGGGAGGTCGAGGTCGAGGTTGAGCCACGTTGCGAGCGGGAGAGCGGGGGGAGGGCAGGGGGGAGGGAAAGGGAAGTCGGGGGTTCAGGAGAGGTTGCGCATGGAGTGAAATGCCCGGCCGGTGCTCGTTCGACGTTCGACGTTCAGGAGCTTAGATCTTAGAGCTCGCGGCTGATCATTCAGTCGACTCGTCTAGTCGCTCTCGAGGTACAGCGTCTGCGAAACCCGGGGGAACGGGGTACCAGTCAGCGGACCCAGCCCAGATACACCACATACGCCATACGCCGGCGCAGCGAGCGACAGCTCAACTGCGGGCTGGCTGCCCCGCAGGCAGGCAGAACTCTAACGACGATATGCAAAGAAAACACGACGGGAAAGGCACTCACCACCTCCGACACAAGGTCCTCCGGGTGCGCGGCGCCGTACGCGCCCACGTCGCCAGTCAAGAACAGCGTCCCGTCGCGCGCGCTGTACGCGACGCGCGTCCGCGGGTGCGAGCCGTCCGGGTTCACCCAGTGCACTGTGTGTCCATATGCCCGCCGGGCCGCTCGTCAGTTACGAGTCACGGAAGATGCGCAGCCCGAGCCCAGTAGGCACGCGCAAAAAGAGAGGGAAGGGGAGACGCACCCGTGAGCGCGTGCGTCGACGCGTCAAACGACCAGATCGCGGACTCGCCCCCGGTCAGGGCTGGCCGGGCGTGCGGGGAGGCTGCGGGGCGCGAGCGGTTTGGGTTAGTATGTGCTTGTGGGCGTATCGCGTACAGTATAGCGTAGAGCATAGAGCGTGTTATAGGTCATAGGGGCGGAGAGAGATGGAGGGGGAGGGGTATATGCAGAGCGTGTAGGTAGACCGGGGATTAGGGCGTGAGCGCGGACGCCTCTGACGACATGGCATGTCTCGCGTTTCGCATTTCGCATTCTGCGTTTCGCGCTACGTCGAGCTCGGAGCTCAGAGCTCCTTTGAGTTGGACGCGCACACGATCTTACGCCCCCTCCCCGAGGCGGCAGCGGCTGAAGTGGGCCGCCCGGCGACACTAAGCCTAGGTAGTTGTGGAGGGAGGAGGGGGGGGGGGGGGCTGCGCGAGCCTCGAGGTGCAGCGCGGACGCCACATGCCGCGCAGCGTGTCACCGTCGCCGGCGTGAAGTCGCCATAGTCCATGGCACGCCGGCGTATGTGTATGTCGCATGTCGCAAGCGCATACATAGGCATATAGGCGCGAAAGATAGGGGAAGAGAGGGAGGAGGTGGGGCGAGGGGGGTTGCACGTGTGGTAGAATGGTACTCACTTTGCTTGACATTGCCGAGCGGCACCGCACTATCGACGCAGAACGTTGACACCGGGACGGAGGAAGCAGAAACAAGGAAGATTCGTCAGTCAGAGATTGAGCGCGAGCAGGATGCCTGAGATCGGGGGGACGTAGTGCGTACCTCGCGGAGCCGGAGCTGAGCGTGGACGCGCCTGCCGCGCCGATTAGCGTGGATTCTTGGGAAGCCTCGGAGTCGGTCTGCCAAGTGAATGCGCCCACAACGCGGTCCCTACCTGTGAGCTCGGAGAACTATCGCAACGGACCGAGGTCGCACGCACCGTCGTCTCCACTGTAGCGAGATTGCTGATGCTGAAAAGCGCCTTCGAGCCGGTCGTCGTGAACGCGATGTGCGCCCCATCTTGTTCGTCATTCGCACCGCCAACGCTTCTGCAGCATGGTGGTGTCCGCCGTGCAGTGCATTGCATTGCGACGGCATTACAACAAACAACAAATGTTGATCAGGCACGGGCGCTCGTGATGAGCTATGCTGCGATCGGGGACGAGAGAGATAGAGTGGGTGGTGCACTCACACACCGGACGGCGAGGCCCGCAGGTAGCCTGCTGGGACGTTGGTACCGGCGTAGCGCGCGACTATGCGCCCCGAGTACGCCGTCTCGACCGCGCTGGAACGTGGGCGGTATCGTGTGAGCAGCGGTCAGCAGCAGCAGGCGAATCGCGCGACGTACGGTCTGGCGAAGGCGAACGGACTTGGGCTCGGACTGGGCGCGGAGCGCTTGATGGGCGCGTATGGGTCCGGGACGGTGGGTGTGGCACGCTTGAACGTGCGCGGGGCTCGCGGAGGGAGGCCCGCAGCGAGGCGTTTGGCATTAGTCCATTGGTCGGTCACGCGCACGGATTTGACACGCGGCGGAGACTTGAGGCTCGGGGGTATACTGAGAGCAGAGACTGGAGAGTAAGCGAGAAGAAGACATAGCGCGAGCGCGAGGATGGGGAGGGACGCAAGGCTGGAGAAGCGCATCGCGTCGGAGTCGGAGTCGTGGAGAGGCAAAGTCTATGCGGTCGAAAGAGAAGAAGGAGAAGGAGCGGAGGGGGAGGAGAACGGAGAGGAAGGGCGAGGCAAGGCGAGGACAAGGACAAGCAAAGTGTGGGGAGGGGGGAAAACTATAAGGGAGAGGATGGCGCAGACTTGTATAGCGTGCGCCTGGCTTTGCGGCCATAATCAGCAATCGGACGGCCCCACGAGGAGAATAATCTAGATGGCACAAAACGGACGAACGGGGAAGGCACGCGTTGTCCCCGCGTCCTAGAATTCGCCGAAGCCGGCCTCGGTTTGGCTCTGATCGCAGGACACGGCGCCTCGAAGCGCGTTCCTCCAAAAGCTGCCGGCACAACGCTGAGAACGAGCAATAGACACGAAAGAGCGTCCGACGGCCACGAGCAGCGCCATAGCCTTCGCGGCTGCTTCGTGAATACCGCACCGGGAGGTCATACGCTAGGGCCGTCGGCGTGCATTGTCCGCACGGATCGAGCGCGGCGACGGCCCAAGCGGCGTCAGACTCATGGCCCAGCCGGCCCCTGGCCTGTGCCCCGCGCGAGGCTGTCCACGCCGGTCTGCAGCGCTGCACGAGTGGCCTGACTCTGTACGAGGAGCTGTCTGGAGCGGAGAGCAGACGATGTCATGCAGACGCCGCCGAGAACGCTGACGCGCAAGAGGCGAGGGAGGACGAGTGCGCGAACGGGAAAAGCGGAACGTTCGAGAGCTGCTTTGGGCTCGTCGATTGCGCTAAACCGAACACTGTGCGAACAGAAGACGCCCTCCTCCTACACGAGGCTTGTCCAGGGCGTTTCCCAGCTTGGCCATCGTCCTCTCTCCATCAGCCCAGCCGGGTTCTGCGGTCCGAACAACGTCCTCGTCAGCGACAGCTCTGTATTCAAGTGGCTGGATCATACCCCACAAGACACCTGCCGTTTTCTGTCGTTGAGGTCGGTGGACAATACAGCGCAGCGCACAAGAGTTCACAGTCCGTGTCGGTGGATTGGTGTAAGAACGGTGTTGTTCGACACAGCTCAGACGCCCGATCTTGTGGGGTCATACGTTCTCATCACGTGATAGGCGCGACGCGTGTGTACTATAACACTCAGGCCGTAGGCTCGAGCTAGATTGTAAAATGGGAGCGAAGCATGGTGTACTGACTACTGTACGTGAAAATGGCGGTGGCTTGGAGATTCCGCCCTTGAACTGCGCACAGAATGACCGTGATCGTCGCTCCTCATCTCAATCCGTACACGCATCAAGCCCTCACTCACCGACTAGCATAGCCTAGTAAGACCACTGTCCTCAGGCTCAGCTTGGACCTTGGCCCAAGCACAGAGCTCTTATACGATGTCCGAATTAGGCCTGGCAGGTGGCCCAATTG